GGTGGGGGGGGGGGCACAGGAGAGTGCTTGGAGTGGAGGGGGACAATCTCCTTCAGCATCCTGCTTCCTGGGGGGTGGGGCTGTCCTTGCCCTTTGGCTGTTCCAAGCCCTCGCCGGGCTCTCCACAGCCCCCTGTAACCTCAGGCCCTGTGCTGCGGAAGCAACATGCAGCAGCCTGAAGTGGGGTTGGGAGAGCCGTGGGGGGCGTACAGTCTGGGGTGGGGGTGGAGGGGTAGCCCAGGACAGTGCATTCGGGCTGCGCTGGGCCGGGCGTGCAGTGGGAGGTACTGGCGTTCGCTCACTCCAGCTCCCGGCTTGTCTCTCCCAGAGTTTGTGATGATGCTGTCCTCCCGCTAACGAGGCCTCAGGCGGGGACCCTGCACCTCCCATCGCCAGCTTCCAGAGGGACCCGAGTAGCTCCGAGTGGATCCCCGCTTCTTCTCTCGCTAGCAGGAAGTTCCCTTACGACTCCCTCCTGGGCTTTTCTAAGGAGACCCCTCCCTCTGGGTCTGTCTGCCCCTCTGCCAGCTCCTCTCCCCCCACGTGCTGCCAAGGGGCAGGGTTTGCATGCCCGGTTGGCAACCCCATTGGGGCTACTAAGCCTCTGACTAGTCCAGGCCCCGTTCTCCAGCTGGGAACCCAGAGAATCTCCCCTCGCCTCCGATCAGAGTGCCCCACTGGCTCCCTTTGCTGCTGCCTTGAGCTGGTCTCTGCCTCCAGCCCCGCCCCTGAGTGCCCTAGCTCCTGCCCCAAGTCCTGCCCTAGCTTCCAGCCCGCGTTCCGGCCCCACGTCAGGGAAATACTCCCTCCCCGCCAGTGGCGAGATTGGAGTGGGGAGACCAGCCCACCCCCCTCTACTCAAGCTCCACTCCCATCCCCTGCTCGCCAAATGGCTCTGCTAAAATGCTCGGCGGTAACAGGGCACGCACAGTGGTGCTGCTTCTACAGGGGTGGTGGCGCTGTGTCCTGGCTTTTAGACGGTCCCTTGTAGCAGTGATTCCCGACTGTTGTGCTGTGGCACACTGCTGGGCCAGCAGGCCCCTCCTGGCGGGCTGTGGAGCGTTTTGCAAACGACACATGAGCACAGAAAAACCCACCTTCCCTGGTACTGCAACGTGCCTCGGAGCTGGTGCCAGTCCATGCGTTAGCTCTCCAGGATGAGGCCTCTCATACTGTGCGCGCTTCACTTTCCATTCCCCACAGCGAGGCTAAGAGGGATAAAACGTAAACACGGACAACGGACTCTGATGAATGCAAGATGCTGCAGTGAGCCTCTGATGATGAGGCACATAAAAAAGACGTACAATTCAAGCCTTAGATTTACATTTACATTGGATTTAGGGCTCAGAGGGGTTGCCCTGTTAATCTGTATCTGTAAAAACAACAAGGAGTCCTGTGGCACCATAAAGTTTAACAGATTTATTCGATCTCAGAGGGGTAGCAGTGTTAGTCTGTAACTTTAAAATCAATTAGTAAGTCCTCAGGCACCATAGAGACTAGCAAATATGTATTATATAAACCTAAAAAACAAAAAAAGGTCTGGTGGCACTTTATGGACTAACAAAACATGTAGATGGTATCATGAGCTTTTGTGGGCACAGCCCACTTCTTCAGATGCCCGGAGTTTTGAGTTTAGGATGTGCAGACCCAAAGTAAATAGGGGAGGAGAGGGAAGGGAAAAAAGGAGGGGGGGTAGAAAACAAGGAGCAGAGTTTATGAGAAAATCAAAGGGAAAAAGAGGAAGGCAGAATGAAGCTTCTAAATATATATATAGTATCATGAGCTTTCATGGGTAAAACCCACTACCCCAGATAACAGGAACCCAGTTTTTGACAGAAAAATAAGGGAGGGGGGAGAAAAAAAAAGGTACCTATCAATTGTAAGACCTGTGCTAATGAGGCTAGTTAAGTGGGCTGGAAGTGCCCCATATTTAGCTTCTGATGTAAAAATGAGGCATTAAATGCAGGGAAGGCTGGCTTTATATTGTGACATCCAGTTAACGTCTTTGTCCAGGCCCAGGGAAACAGTGTCAGATCTGCATCTGGTGAAGTACTTTTTACCCAAGACAGCTTATGTCCAAATAAATCTGTTAGGCTATGTCTAGACTGGCATGATTTTCCAGAAATGCTTTTAACGGAAAATTTTCGATAAAAGCATTTTCGGAAAAGAGCGTCTAGATTGGCACGGACACTTTTCCGCAAAAGCACTAGACGCGCTTTTGCGCAAAAAAGCCCCGATCACCATTTTCGCGATCGGGGCTTTTTTGCGCAAAACAAATCTCAGCTGTCTACACTGGCTCTTTTGTGCAAAAGTTTTGCACAAAAGGGACTTTTGCCCGAACGGGCGCATCATAGTATTTCCTCAAAAAGCACTGATTTCTTACAGTAGGAAGTCAGTGCTTCTGCGGAAATTCATGCGGCCAGTGTAGACAGCTGGCAAGTTTTTCCGGAAAAGCGGCTGATTTTCTGGAAAAACTGGCCAGTCTAGACACAGCCTTTGTCTTTAAGGTGCCCCAAGACTTCTCATTGTTTTTATTTGATTTAGGGTAAAAGCTGGAACGAGCTGCACCTGGAATGGCATTATAATTAATTATAGGGCCTTTAAAAACTGCTGAGAAAGTGACCTGCATGTGGGAGGACTATTTGGGAATGAGCAGAAAAGATTAATCATTATTTGTGTGTGTTGCTTTGCCCCCCGGGCATGCTTTTGTCCGAAGTTCTTATATGTCGCTTTAATGTTAGTTTCTACTGTCTGAAAATGTTAATTCTGACACAAGCAGGAAATGGCCATCTCCCGCTAGCTGCCATGGTTGTTTTGATTTTGACCCCACTAGCCTCGTTCTGGATTGGTTTATGACTGTTCACACGTCAAACTTAAGAGTGGCCCATGACAGAGGCAGTACCGGCATATGAATGTAATGGTATGGGAGTCACGTGATGTATCACGGCGTGTCAAGGCAGACAGCTACTGCCTTGGAGGCCTCTCGCCCCGCAAGGGACCTCATTCTTCCTCCAGGATCGGTCACGCAGCCTCACTGCCTCCTAGATAGAGCCTCTGGGCTTCTGCCACTCCGCCTCATGCAATGAGTCCTGTCCAGTGAGGGCAACAGAGCCTGGTGCCTGCGTAGAGATGTGCCCCTCTCTGCGCCAGCCAGTGTTTGTAGTGACGCGGGACAGCTTCTCCAACCAGAGCAGCTTCGCTCGTCCCCTGGCACAGCGCTTTCCGAGTCCTTGGGTAGCTCAGGCAGAGTACCATTAAAGCACAATCCTTCTGGCCACGTCTGAGCCAACCACCGCCTCACTACGGCGGATTCCACCTCCGGCACCGTCTCACTCTGGCGTCCTTCGCTGAGGTTCTCCCAGCAGCACGCTCTTGGTCCGTCCCCTCCCCGTCCTTTGGCTCCAGGCAGAGTTTAAAGCCCTGCCGGCTGCCCAGTGTCCAGTCCCTGGGGCTTCCCATTGTCCCTCAGGATCCTCTCCTGAGCCAGGTCTGTTACAATCAGTTCCCTAACAGCCCACTTCATCGAGGCCCAGACAGCGAGGCCTCTCATGCATACACCTCCCTCCTCCCCTGCCATCCAAGAGCACTTTTAGCTCTCCCCCACTCCCATGCTGGCTAGCGTCAGTGGGTGGAGGGAGCAGTAGTCCTGGGGCCTGGTGTTTCAAAGGAGCCAAGGTCTCTCTCTCCCTCCACTGCTACTGTGGCAGCAGCAGCACCCAGAGCACCAGGCCCTTTAAATCGCTGCTGGAGCACTGAGACGCATGCTCCGGGTGGCTCTTAGGGCTGCCTGGAGAGGCGGGTGCACTGTGCTGCATGCTCTGGGCGGGGCTGAGGAATGGGGGGTGGTGGTGCCACAGTCTGGATGCCACCCAGGGCTGGCTGCCCCAGCCCTGACCCTGTAGCCCGAGGCCCCACCCCTTGCAGGGGCCTTTAAAAACTGCTGAGAAAGTGACCTGCATGTGGGAGGACTATTTGGGAATGAGCAGAAAAGATTAATCATTATTTGTGTGTGTTGCTTTGCCCCCCGGGCATGCTTTTGTCCGAAGTTCTTATATGTCGCTTTAATGTTAGTTTCTACTGTCTGAAAATGTTAATTCTGACACAAGCAGGAAATGGCCATCTCCCGCTAGCTGCCATGGTTGTTTTGATTTTGACCCCACTAGCCTCGTTCTGGATTGGTTTATGACTGTTCACACGTCAAACTTAAGAGTGGCCCATGACAGAGGCAGTACCGGCATATGAATGTAATGGTATGGGAGTCACGTGATGTATCACGGCGTGTCAAGGCAGACAGCTACTGCCTTGGAGGCCTCTCGCCCCGCAAGGGACCTCATTCTTCCTCCAGGATCGGTCACGCAGCCTCACTGCCTCCTAGATAGAGCCTCTGGGCTTCTGCCACTCCGCCTCATGCAATGAGTCCTGTCCAGTGAGGGCAACAGAGCCTGGTGCCTGCGTAGAGATGTGCCCCTCTCTGCGCCAGCCAGTGTTTGTAGTGACGCGGGACAGCTTCTCCAACCAGAGCAGCTTCGCTCGTCCCCTGGCACAGCGCTTTCCGAGTCCTTGGGTAGCTCAGGCAGAGTACCATTAAAGCACAATCCTTCTGGCCACGTCTGAGCCAACCACCGCCTCACTACGGCGGATTCCACCTCCGGCACCGTCTCACTCTGGCGTCCTTCGCTGAGGTTCTCCCAGCAGCACGCTCTTGGTCCGTCCCCTCCCCGTCCTTTGGCTCCAGGCAGAGTTTAAAGCCCTGCCGGCTGCCCAGTGTCCAGTCCCTGGGGCTTCCCATTGTCCCTCAGGATCCTCTCCTGAGCCAGGTCTGTTACAATCAGTTCCCTAACAGCCCACTTCATCGAGGCCCAGACAGCGAGGCCTCTCATGCATACACCTCCCTCCTCCCCTGCCATCCAAGAGCACTTTTAGCTCTCCCCCACTCCCATGCTGGCTAGCGTCAGTGGGTGGAGGGAGCAGTAGTCCTGGGGCCTGGTGTTTCAAAGGAGCCAAGGTCTCTCTCTCCCTCCACTGCTACTGTGGCAGCAGCAGCACCCAGAGCACCAGGCCCTTTAAATCGCTGCTGGAGCACTGAGACGCATGCTCCGGGTGGCTCTTAGGGCTGCCTGGAGAGGCGGGTGCACTGTGCTGCATGCTCTGGGCGGGGCTGAGGAATGGGGGGTGGTGGTGCCACAGTCTGGATGCCACCCAGGGCTGGCTGCCCCAGCCCTGACCCTGTAGCCCGAGGCCCCACCCCTTGCAGGACCGTAGAGCCAGCCATCCCCCCCCTCCATTTTGCTGGGGGCCCACAGAAGCTGTCGGCTCTCCTGTACGATGGGAAACTGAGGCACACAAGATTCATAAAAATATGACAGAAGATTCCCACTTCGTCCAGGCTCTTTTCCCTCAGGGGCCGAACTGAGCAGGGCTGCTGTTAATGCTGACGTGGGAGGTTGGTGCCCACTGTGCGTAGTTAGAGGCGCCCTGGCATGGTGCTCCTTTCCCTGGTAGCCGTTTTCCCTGGCGCTTGCGAGAGGCGTACAGCACAGTCGCTAAGCAAGCGTACAGCGCTCACAGCATGGGGCAGAGCAGCTTCATGTCCCCCCTTCAGTCTGGCCTGGGCGACGGCCATTAGCAGGGTGCCCATGGGACATTTTCATGTGGCCCTCTCCTCCTTTGGCCACCCCCAGAACCTTCAGGTTTGAAACTGGCTCCTGCCATTATCTTCTCCCAGTTGTCTTCCAAGGAGAGATGAGGAGAAGGGACCCACCACCCATTTTGGCTGCAGCCCCAGGCGTCCTGAGCCTAAGGTCAGCTAGCACATGACCCTGTGAGTGTTGGGTTCAGAGTAGGTTTGTCCCCCTGCAAGGTTGGTCTTAACCCAGCCATATTTCCGGAGCTCCAGTGCACTGGGGTGCCAAGGTAGGGATGTCAGGATGCCCCACACTGGCAGGGTCCCTCCAGGCTGCATCTCAAGGCCACGGTTGTGCATATACCAGGAACCCATTTCTGCTGGTGGGGCCATCCTGTTGCTCTCACCCATCCCGGCGTAGGGTGGACTGTTACTCAGGTCTCTTGGCCACGCCCTGACAAGTTGTCCCCACGTCCAGCAGTGGCCACCCTGCTGCTTTAGCCTTCTCCAGGGCTTCTCTCCCCGCAGTCTCTGCAGCCGGCTTGCCCATCTGCCCATGCTCAGCCTGGGTTTCTGCCGCTGCTTCTCAGGGATGTTATGCCTGAGCCTGTGTGACTACTCCCTGCTGCTGCATGGACACAGCCGGATTCCTTCCTCTGCCCTGTTTGGCTCCACTGCCGGTTTCCAGACAGACAGCTCTCCTGAGTTTAACAGCCTTCCCCCCTTCTCCCTGCAGCTACACCCTTTTGCACTGTCCCTACCACCTCCCCCCTGGCTGGGTCCAGGAAGAGGGGCTGAATTTTGTCTTATGGCAAAACAGTGCACTGATTCCTAAGGTGAGTGGCAAAGCTGATGTCCTGGAGATCCTGAATGACCTGCCATTCCAATCTCTCCTATGTCTGCCTAGGGATCTCGGCCATAAGCCAGGAGAACCTTAAGCCAGGTTGT